ACTTGTGCTCTAATGTATAAAATATTGCTCTGTGCTTACAGCTCCATTCAAGGCAGAAAAGATAAAATTTTTGAAAAATGTGCACAATTTTTACTGCCTGCATTTAGTCAATTTAAAATATTTTTTAAAATTTCTGGGAGTGGGTGCAAATGTTCTTGGGATGTCTCCCCGGGTTAAAAAAAGAGAGTACTAATAATACAGGGAGGGCCCCGATTATACAGCAGGTTAGGTTTGGGGCACTGCTGAAAGCAAAAAATTTCGGGAGAGTGAAAAAATTTGCCTTTTTTCATTTTCAAATTCAAATAAAAGCCCTTTATAGCAGGTTTTACTAAGATTTTAAAATTTAAGTGAGCAATAGAAAAGGGGTCCCAAAAAAATGCTTACAATACACCATTTCTTACCTTAAAAATTTTTTTTGTTTTTAGCTTATAGCAAGTGGTTTAAAATATTTTTTGCAGGTAGGGGTTTGGGAGATGCAACCCCCAGGGGAAATACACCCCCCCTCCAAAAGGAATTTTGGGAAAAACCCCCAAACCCGTAAAGGTTTTGCATGTTTGGGGATTTTCTGGTTTCTTTTTCCCCGTCTCTAAACACACTGATAACAGGGGTTTTCTTTCAAATCCTACTTTCACTTTGGGGCACACTTCCAAACCGCACTTTCCCTTTTTAAATTTTTTTCTCTTTTTACAAATACCCTTTTTCCTTTTTTATTTTCTTTATTGCCTTTAAAAAACTTTTTTTAACCCCCTGTTGACCAAAAGGGGAAGTGGAAAAAAAATTTTTAAAAAAAAAAAAAAAAACTTTTCCTAAGCCAAATTTCGTGTTGTATGGGGAAAAAACCGGGGGGGAAGTTTGAATGGGAAAAAAATTTTCCTTTTGGCCCTTTCAAAAAAGGAAGGGGGGGAAGGGGGGGAAAAAATTTATAAAAACGGGATTGGGTTAAAAAGGGGGGTGGAATTGGTTAGTGTTTGGAAGAAAAAAGGAAAAAGGTGTGTTATTGAAATTTAAAAGAAAAATTGGATGCGGAAAAATGGGAAAAAAGCTGAAAGGGGGGGGTAGGGGAGAGTTTTTTTTTGGGGGGGAAATTTTTAAAAGGGTTTAAAATGGGTTAAATTTTGGGGGGAGAAGCAAAAGGAAGGGGAAAAATTTTAAATGTGGAAGTAAATTATGGAAGGGAAAAAAGGGATTTATTTAAGTTTTATAAAAAAAAGGGTTTTGTTTTGGAAAAAAAATTTTAAGGGGATGGAAATTGGGGATTAAAATTTTTAAAAACCCTGTTTGTTTGGGGAAAGAAAGGAATGAGTTGGGGAGACTTTTGGGAATGTTTTTAAAGGGGAATTATAAAACCCCTTTTGACCCCCAAAGGAAAAGGTAATTTTGGGGAAGGGGAAAAAAAGCTAAAAGGTAGGAAGGAAACTTTTAAAACCCGGGTAAAAAGGGGGTGGCCCCCAAAAAAAAAATTCCCTTTATTAACCTTTGAAAAAAGGGGTTTAATAGGTTTTACAAATTTAAAAAAGGGATGTGATCAAGGGGGGTTTTAAAAGTTAGGGCCAAAAACAGTAGTTTGGGATTTTGGAAGGTAAAAAAAAAGAATGGAGAAAAACCCTTTTTGGGACCCCCCGGGTTTTTGGGGAAGGGGGCCCCGGGGTAAAAAAAAAAAACACTTTTAGGGTGGGGTAATGAGAGTAAAAGGGGGGAAAAATTTGGGGTAAAAAATGAAGTGGAAAAGGAGGGAAGGTTTTAAAAATGGGTTCCCTTGGGGCGCCCCCCAAGGGGAAGGGGGGGAAACCCGAAAAAAGGGCTTTCCCCCAACCCCCTTCCAAAAACCCCCCTTCCCCTTTCCCGGGGGTGCCCTTTACCCCCAAAGGGGGTTTTTAAAAACCCCCCCCCAAACCAAACCCTTCCATGCCCCTGCCCCCCGAAGGTTTTTAAATTGGCCCCGTTTAAAAAGAAAATTAAAGACCCCTTTTCAAACATAATATTAAAGTTTTTTTTCGGGGGCCCCTGCCTTGGGGGACGGCCCTTTTTTTTTAAAAAAAAAAAGTTTTAGGAAAGTTTGGTAAAGGAGCCAAAAAGGCCAAGGGGTGAAGAAAGGAATTTGGGGGGAAAGGGGTTTAAAAGGTATTTTTAATTTCACAAAAGGGTTTTTGGGACAAGGAAAATGGATTGCGGGGAGGGAAAAATTTGGTTGGTGGAAATGAAGATTTGTTTTTAAAAGGTAGTAAGGGAAAAGGGGGGGAAAAAAAAAAATTTCCAATGAGAAAAGTTTTTACCAAAAGGGAGAACCGTTTTTTGCAAAGGAAAAAGGGTTAATTTGGAAAAAAAAGAAAGGAAAAAGGGGGTTAAAATTTATGGTAAAGCAAATGTTAAAAGGGCAAATGAAAAGGGGTAATTTTTATTTTAACTTTTTTTTGGTTTGAAAAATAAGAAAAATTTTGGGGGAGGGCGATTAAAAAATTAAGGGTGAGGAAAAAATGGAAATTCTGGTCTTAAAAATAGGGAAAATTTTTTGGAGAGAAAAAAGGTAAATTTTGGGGAAAGGAAAAAGGGAATAATTTTGGGGTTTTAAATGTTTTTTTCCTAAAATTGGGAATTTTCCTTTTAAATTTTTGTTTTAAAGGGCCCCAAGGGAGGAAAACATCCCTTGTTTAATAGGGAAAACCGGTGGGTTTGGGGGGTTCCCAAAAAAATAGGTTAAATTGGAAAAGGGGGAAAAGGCCCCCGGGATTAAATTAAAGAAAGGGAAATGTTTTAACCCCCGGGGGAAAGTTCCCTTTAAGGGTTGGGTTTGCCCAATAATTTTTAAAAATTTTTGGAGGGGAAGGAACCTAGGGTTGGCGAAACGATAGTTTTTGAAAAAAAGGAAAAGGGGCAAAAGGTTTTTTTACCAAAAATTTCGGGGATAATTTTTAAGTTCCCTTCCCCGGGAAAACCTCCCCAAAGGTACCCCTGGGGACAGCCCTCCAAAATTTTTTAAAAAGAAAGGTGGGTTTGAGAAGGGGCCCCTCCAAAAAAATTTTTCATTGGCATATTAAAGGGCCATATCCGGTTTTTCAATTCAAGGTTTTTTGGGAAAGGAAAGGGGGGGTTTTGGGCCAGGGGTTTTTCCCCTTAAACAAAAAGTGAACAGTATTAGATAAGGCTAAAGAGGAAATTGTGGCATTTATGGATTGGAAAAGGCGTATGACAGGGTGGATATGGGGGCAATGTGGCAGATGTTGCAGGTGTATGGTTAGGAGGTAGGTTACTGAAAGCAGTGAAGAGTTTTTACAAGGATAGTGATGGCTCAAGTTAGAGTAATGTAGGAAAGAGGGAAATTATTTCCCAGTAAAAGTAGGCCTTAGACAAGGATGTGTGATGTCACCGGGTGTTTAATATATTTATAGATGGGGTTGTAAGAGAAGTAAATGCGAGGGTCTTGGCAAGAGGCGTGGAGTTAAAAGATAAAGAATCACACATAAAGTGGGAGTTGTCAGAGTTGCTCTTTGCTGATGACACTGTGCTCTTGGGAGATTCTGAAGAGAAGTTGCAGAGATTGGTGGATGAATTTGGTAGGGTGTGCAAAAGAAGAAAATTAAAAGTGAATACAGGAAAGAGTAAGGTTATGAGGAAACAAAAAGATTAGTGATGAAAGATTGATATCAGTTTGGAGGAGAGAGTATGGAGGAGTGAACGTATTCATATATTTGGGAGTGGACATGTCGCGGATGGGTCTATGAAAGATGAGGTGAATCATAGAATTGATGAGGGGAAAAGGGTGAGTGGTGCACTTAGGATCTGTGGAGACAAGAACTTTGTCCTTGGAGGCAAAGAGGGGAATGTTGAGAGTATAGTTTTACCAACGCTCTTAATGGTGTGAAGCATGGGTGATGAATGTTGCAGCGAGGAGAGGCTGGAGCAGTGAGATGTCATGTCTGAGGGCAATGTGTGGTGTGAATATAAGCAGAGAATTCATATTTTTTGGAAGTTAGGAGGAGGTGCGGGGATTACCAAAACTGTTGCCCAGAGGGCTGAGGAAGAGTTGTTGAGGTGGTTCAGACATGTAGAGAGAATGGAGCGAAACAGTGTGACTTCAAGGTGTATCAGTCCGAGTGGAAGGAAGGCGGGTAAGGGGTTGGCCTAGGAAAGGTTGGAGGGAGGGGTAAAGGAGGTTTGTGTGCGAGGGCTTGGACTTCCAGCAGCATGCATGAGCGTGTTTGATAGGAGTGAATAGAGACAATGGTTTTTAATACTTGACGTGCTGTTGGAGTGTGAGCAAAGTAACATTTATGAAGGGGTTCAGGGAAACCGGCAGGCCGGACTTGAGTCCTGGAGATGGGAAGTACAGTGCCTGCACTCTGAAGGAGGGGTGTTAATGTTGCAGTTTAAAAACTGTAGTGTAAAGCACCCTTCTGGCAAGACAGTGATGGAGTGAATGATGGTGAAAGTTTTTCTTTTTCGGGCCACCCTGCCTTGGTGGGAATCGGCCAGTGTGATAATAAAATAATAAAATAAGTCTGAATAAATTACGAAAGAGTATAATAGAAAAACCACTGTGTTAGTGAACCACTGTCGAGCGAAGCGCTGTAAAGCAGGGCCCTCCTGTACACTGATTAATATCTTAATTTCAGAAAGGTGAAGACTTGTACAGAGTGTTATATGAATAGCTATATGCCTATGTTGGTTTGCTTGTTGCTACTTCTAATATCAAGTTTTTCATGGGTGCAACATGGTAGAAGATACAGAAAATTATTGGTCAAGTACAATATATGCCTGCACCTGCTCCTATCTAAAATAAGTGCAGATGGCAGATTAATAAGTTTATAGCTTTTGGTGTGATATACAATAATTTCCATTTGCTCGGAATGCTGCCTTTTGGCAGACTGTAGCTCACTTTTCAGTTTTATTATTGTTTTCATTTTGCATGAGAGAACTGTCATAAATTTTTCACAGTCATATTTTTCGGTTACCCCTTATGTGACTAATTTATCATCTGATGGATTTTTTACTTTTTAAAATAGGTAACTATGATGGGAGCTCCAGAAATAATAAGTGCAGAAATCAGTCCTAAGGCCTTAGTGATGAGTGGAACATCAAGTATGATAGTTGCAGCAAGTGGCTCCCCAGTCACCCACACATCTGCTCTGGGTCAGTCACAGCTGCTGAATTTGACGCTACATCAAGCTCACCAAGTCAAGCCTCCATCAGTCCTTCGCAAGTCCAATTGAAGGATTGTTTTTAGCTTGCAGTCTCCTTTTCATAAATGAATATTATGGTATGTATTATTAAAACAAGGTATGTAATGCCTTTATGTGTATAAATGAGACATATGCAATGTTAGGTCACTTTATTTTGGAAATGCTTTATCCACTAAGAGTTTATCAATCTAGTACAAACAAAAATAGGTAAATGTATACAGTAGATCGTTGGATAACATGGTAGTTACATTCCTGAAAATGACATGTAATCAAAATATTGTGTAAACCAAAGAGAAGAACATATGGGAAAAATAGGGTTATGTTCATTGGACTTCCCAAAAAAAAAAAATAGGTCTCTTGAGTGTAAAAAGCAACGATGATGATAATTTAATTAAAGGTTGATATGGTGATGTGTGTCAAAGATCCTTCACCCAGAGCTGTGCTAGCAGAGGTGCTTTATTGTTTGGTTGTCCTAATTGTTGCAGCTGAATGAGAGTTTTAAAGGAAAGGTTAGAGTGGTTGGGGTATTCATGAGAGAAGTTAGAGCAGTTGGGGTGAGTAGGTTTGGTGGGGGGATAATGGACTGAGGGATGAGGGTTGAGGGACTTCTGTTGTGGGAAGTGAAGACCAAATGTTAAAGGGGTGGGGGCAGGAGCTGGAAGCTGGTGCTGGGTGGTGAAGGGTGCTGGGCAATAGAGGGGTGTGGGAAAGGAGTGGAGTCTGGAAGCAACGAGGTGGTATGTGGGTGGCAGTGTTGGTGGGTGAATGTGCAGATGTTGGTGTGGGTGGTAATGAAGGTGGTGGGTGGCTACATGACTAGGTGTATGAGTAGTGAAAGATGTAGGAGTAGGGCTATGTGGGTGTGAAGCTATGGGGGAGTAATATGGGTGAAAGGTGTGGTTATTGGTGGCCCAGTGATTGGATGATTGACTGGATGGGTGAATGTGTGGGTGGTGGTGTAGGCAGTAATGAGGGTGGTGGGTTAGCGAGTGATTAGGTATGTGGGTGGTGTGTTAGGGTAAAAGGCTGGGTGAGGTGTGGGCATGGGGCTGGGCAAAGTGTGGTCTTCAGGTAGTGGGTGTAGGTGTGTGCCATGGGGAAATTGTATGGATGGGATGTGTGGTGGTAGGTTGTTGATTGGGATGGTACGTGAAGTCATGCGGCAGTGAGGGAGTTGTGTGGGTGGTGGTTACTAGTTGGAATGGTATAAGTGATGGTGTGTGGCTGTGGGGGAATTATAGGGGCAAATGGTATGGGTGGGGGTTCTGGGCAGTGTGGGTGAGGTTGCTGGGTGTGCAGCAAGGGTATGTGGTTCCAGGAGGGAGGAAGGGGCATATGAACATAGCATGAGGTATTGTATTAGACATGTATGAACATAGCACAAGGTATGGTAGTTGATGATAAAAGTCTATCAATACTTAACTACAACATCAGGTCCTTAAGCAAACACTATGATGACCTCCTGGCACTCCTTGAGTCACTAAAGACACCCTTCTCCTGCATTATTCTTACTGAGACCTGGCTTAAACAGGGCACAATAGATATCTACCCTCTACCAGGATACACAGCAATCCACAACTGCAGACCATACCAAGTTGGGGGTGGTATTGCAATCTATTACTCTAACCAATTATCTTGTATTAGCACCAATTGCTTTAGTGATGAATATGGAGAATACATTTTTGCTAATTTTACTGTAAAAAACCTTAAGACGCCTTTAACAATCGGTGCCATTTACCGGATACCCCACACAAACATCCCAAACTTCAGTGGGAAATTAAAGGCACTAATAACAAACAGACAAATGAATAAGCACCACCTTCTCTTAGCTGGAGACTTCAACATCAACCTTGGCCTACTAGATGATCAGCCTGTAACTGATTTCATCAACAATATGAACAACACACTTTTCATACCAACAATAACTAAACCAACCAGGCTCACTGAAACAAGTGCAACTATAATAGACCACATATGGACCAATATACTAGCCCCCTTAAATCAGGGATAATCACAGATAGCACTACAGACCACTACCCTACCTTCCTCTTGACAAACATTAGTAAACCACCACTTGAATACAACAAAGTCTCATTTAGACTCCATGATAGGCCTCAATAAGGAAGTTCACAGCTGACCTAGAGACTGTTGACTGGCCTACAGAATTCTCCAAGGCCAATGGTATTGATGACTGGACAGACATTTTTCTTTAACAAACTACTTAGACTATACAACAAACATTGTCCTATAAAACGAAACAGATCACAAACAAACGGCTTGGTTGCCCATGGCTAACCAGCACCATTCTGAAATCCATTGATAAGAAACACCAATATGAAAAGCAATATAGACAGGGCTTAATACACAAAGATATTCTTAAACACTATTCATCAGTCCTCACCAAAGTAATAAAGAAAGCCAAACAACTATACTACTCCAGTAGATTCACTGACACAAGAGGAGATATAAAAAAGACCTGGAAAACACTCTCTCAGATTCTAGGGACCCACAAACTGAAAAAAAACAAGAATATTGTCCTAACTAAACCTAATGAAACACCACTGCAACCCACTGACACAGCTAACAAGATAAACGACTTCTCAACCATAGGTTCTAATCTTGCCAATAAAATCCCACATACCAATGCCCCATGCCGGGGACTACCTAGATGGGAATTTTCCCAAATTCCTTCTATCTTGCTCCAACTGAGCCCACGGAAGTCACCGAGATTATAAAGTCACTTAAAAATAGCTCAGGGAATCTGTCTCATGTCCCACCATTATTGTACAAGAGAGTGGCCCATGTCCTCTCGCATATTATCTCATTACTTTTTACCAAGTCACTAGAAACTAGCACCTTCCCGAAATTACTCAAGACGGCAAGGGTTACACCAATACATAAAGGTGGTGACCCTACAGATTTAAACAACTATAGGCCAATATCAAACTTACCATTGCTATCCAAAATCTTTGAGAAACTCGTGCACAGGAGACTGTATTCATTTATAACGTCACAAAACATACTCAACCCCTGCCAATTTGGATTTAGGAAAAATAAAAGCACTAACGATGCAATCATAAAAGTGCTAGATCTGCTTTACACAGCATTGGAAAATAAGGAATATCCACTAGGAATTTTTATTGACCTAAGAAAAGCTTTTGACACAGTAGACCACGGCATCCTACTCCACAAACTTGACCATTATGGTATAAGAGCCATGCGCTTGCATATTCAAATCTTACCTTACTAATAGGTATCAGTATGTCACCATTAAAGACACAGCATCAACAACACAGCCACTTGATACTGGAGTTCCGCAGGGAAGTGTCCTTGGTCCCCTGCTCTTCCTCTTATACATCAATGATCTTCCAAACGTATCTCGACACCTGAACCCCATTCTCTTTGCTGACGACACGACTTATGTCATCTCTCACCCTAATCTTGCCACCCTCAACACCATTGTTAATGAGGAGCTGATCAAAATATCGACTTGGATGACAGCCAATAAACTTACACTTTTTTTTTTTTTTTTTTTTCAACAAGTCGGCCGTCTCCCACCGAGGCAGGGTGACCCAAAAAAGAAAGAAAATCCCCAAAAAGAAAATACTTTCATCATCATTCAGCACTTTCACACCACTCGCACATTATCACTGTTTTTGCAGAGGTGCTCAGAATACAACAGTCTAGAAGCATACACATATAAAGATACACAACATATCCCTCCAAACTGCCAATATCCCAAACCCCTCCTTTAAAGTGCAGGCATTGTACTTCCCATTTCCAGGACTCAAGTCCGACTATATGAAAATAACCGGTTTCCCTGAATCCCTTCACTAAATATTACCCTGCTCACACTCCAACAGATCGTCAGGTCCCAAGTACCATTCGTCTCCATTCACTCCTATCTAACACGCTCACGCACGCTTGCTGGAAGTCCAAGCCCCTTACCCACAAAACCTCCTTTACTTACACTTAACGTTGACAAAACCTACTACATTATGTTTGGTAGCAGAGCAGGAGATGCACAAATCAACATTAAGATCGACAACACTCTAATTGCCAGGCATAATGAGGGCAAATTCCTAGGCCTATACCTCGACAACAACCTGAACTTCAGCACCCATATCCAACACATAACCAAAAAAGTATCCAAAACGGTTGGGATCCTCTCCAAATACGATACTACGTGCCGCAAACTGCCCTTCTCACACTATACCATTCACTTATATATCCATACCTCACCTATGCTATCTGTGCTTGGGGTTCAACTGCAGCAACACACCTAAAGCCAATAGTAACCCAACAAAAACCGCATTAAGAATAATCACTAAATCCCATCCCTGGCAACACACCCCCCCACTCTTCATAGATCAAACTTACTCCCTGTTCAGTACATCCACACTTACTACTGTGCAATCTACATCTGCAGACCTTAAATTCCAATATTAACCTTGACCTAAAATGCTTTCTTGATAGTTTGACAGAACCCACAGGCACAACACCAGACACAAACATCTCTATGACATTCCCCTGTCCGACTAAACCTTTACAAAAATTCAATGTATGTCAAAGGCCCTAAAATCTGGAACACCCTACCTGAAAATTCCAAACTGCAGACACATTCATCACCTTCAAAACTACCATCAGAAAACATCTTATCTCCCTGATACACCCTGTCAACTAATAATAACGAATACCACCTGGTGGTTCACACTTACACTCACTCACCCATTTGACCATAAACAGAAATATCCAATCTCAATCTCAAAATAATGAATCTTAACTAGTCATAAGTTGGCCTGTGATATTCCAATACTGAAACTATGTATAGTGCCAAAACAAAAGCATTCACATTGCTAAACTCACAACTAGTATTTAGTCACTTAGCCATAATACCAACTTACCTCATAATTTTGTAATATTTTAAACTTAAGATTTAATATAAGTCTGCCCGAAATGCCTAGCCATGCTAGGTGTTCTAGTGGTACACTCTGTAATTATTATTTTACTACATGTAAACCACACAATAACCAAATTCTGTAAACTCAGCATTGTAATCCTTATAGAGAATAAACTTTGAATTTGATGTGTATGAA